CTTAATAATAAATAAATTAATAGCACATCCGAACTTCCATTTTTTTTCCTCCCACCCCCTGCATGTGCGAAAGAAAAAAAATATTTTACTTCCGATTACAGATAAATTTCCTTTTACCATCATAATGTTTTCCGTGCTATTTCATTTTTAGTGCAAATTAACAACAGCTTTCCGCACAAATCTTGTGCTGGCCGATGAAGAAAATAGGCCATTGAAAATGATCTTTAAATTTCGCTGCATTATTGCCCAGGCAATAAAAGTTCTGGGATTATAGCCGTTTTACATTTCGATAAATAAAAATGAAATTCGGAGAAAAGGGGGCATGTGTCACAGTCCCATTCCCTGTAGTGTCTGTATCCAGGCAGAGCGTGGTTTATTAGGGGAAATATACCATCTTCACTACTCTCTCCAGTAGCGTAGATACATGTATTCATCCTTCCCTTTTTATCGTGAACCTTTTATATAAACGAAAAGCTCATGTTCTGTTTGCAGACAGCATTGAAGAGGTACTCAAGTCTATTTTTACGAGAAGCTTTTAAAGCATGACATTTGGCTTCAGCACTGGTGTTTTAAAACTAATGTCATGTCTAACATTCAGATGAAAGGAGTAAACGCGATATATTTTTCATTCAAGTGATGAAGTTCCTTATTAATTTAATGAAAAAAGTACATAAATGGCTGTTTTGTACTAAGACGAATTTCTAAAAGCATGTTTCAAAAAAATTCTTTCTTTAAATGTGTATTAGTTGAATAACATTTTAGTTTTGGAAACAGGGAAGAGGTGAATTAGAAAAATCGAAGGTTATAGAGACCAAGTGGATAAATACTATTGAGCACTAATAGTTCGCTATGTTTTTGTTTACTATAGCTTTTTTTCCTATATGTAAAATAAATACGAACCAGTTTTACTTAATTAGTTCTCCACGAAGGCATAATAGATAGCCATCTAGTTCTTTACGAAAGTAAAAACAATAATTTAAAATTAATAATTGTCTTTTTTAAAAATTGTATTAGCAATACTAATTAAAATTTTTGTTGTTTCTACTTTAAAAAATAGAACGGTAAATAGTCAGTCATGTAGTGCAGTTTACATGTCAGCCTAATATTCGTATAGGCCTCATATTTTCCATTGACAGCCAAACGAGTAACCCATTAAAACTGAATTCATGTGGTTTAAGTAAAAGAATATTATTATTACTAGCTTTAGAAGGAAACAATTATTTCATCTAATATTTTTAATTTTTAAAATCGTCAACATGAATTACACACATTCCCAGTACATTAATTTAATTAATTAAATTTGCGTAGTTAAAGTTTCAACAAAGACAAGAAAGTATCGTTTTCGAGGATGAAAGCTTTTGTCTTGAGCAATTTAGCCCTGGAAAAAGTTTGCTTTTACGTAAAGATAGCAACCTCATTCTCCTGTTCATTATAATAATAAAACTAATTGATTAATATTATATTCTTAATATGTCGTTAGTGTTTTATTTGAGGATATATATTCTGAGAGGATTAAAACAACGGTATTCAGAGAGTTTATCGTGATTTCCTTTGACAGCATTAGTTTGAGGACATTCGTAATGTATTTTTAATGAATTAAAGTATGCCCTCTTTCTCAGCAAAAACTAAAGCTAAACTTCCGAGGCACGATGGCCACACTAGAGCGAAATGGATTTGAGTCTATCAAAGCTGGAGGTAGGCTTTCGGATAATATCCATTAATCCGCAATCTAGAAAAGTCCATCCACTCATTGTTGGATCCAAGATAATGGGAAATACCTCACATTTAAGATTAGTTTTGGACATCTTTATGACTTCTGGACTGACTTGCGCATAATGAGATTCTCTTAGATCTAAAATTAACTGCCTTATCTGCAGCAGTAAATATGTCACGCTCAAATCTCACAAATGATCAGTCGAAAATTTAGAGTTTTATCCCAAACTACGAAAACTTTGCTTTCAGTACATCCAAATTAAGAGCAGTGTGAGGTTTTCTTTTTATTGTGATTAGAGCAGCTGCTTGCATTTGAGAATCTAGTCACGTAAAACCTAGAGACTACTCGTGCTCTGATTCTTGACAGTTTTTGCTATTTATATTTTAGAGATCCCTCTACTCAAGGAGCATTTCATAGAAAACTCGGAAATTTAAATATATATATATATATTACTTGCACTCAACTGCTACAAATTAAAAAATTTTCAAATCTAAAAATACTTTTCTTCACTAATCTGTGCAACTGAACTGATTTTGAAATAATTTGGTCTAACTTGGTCATTTAAAAAGGAATACTGGAGTATTTTACAATTGGAAAAGTTAGATTACAAATTTAGACTTATTTTAATGTGTCTTGGCCATTAAGGGAATGGAATAAATAATAATAAATTTGATAAATATAAATAATTGCTTTAAAAAATGCAGTACTTTTATTATAAGGTGCAAATGATTGAGATCTGATCTACCAACTGCTCTTATTTATAGAACTCTATTAGTTTAACTCATTAAAACTTAGAACCGATCTATCAGCTTTCGAATAATAAATACGGAGGGAAGGTGTACTGGGGAAGATGAATATAGATATTGTTTACCTTGCATTAGTTTTTATTGTATATTAAAAAGTAGTAAAAACACAAGTGTATTTTAAATTAACATTTTAATGAAGCTAGAAGCTTTTAAAATTCCAGAGTATTACTTATGTATTGAAATTAGGAGTTTTTCATGTTGAGGGTAGTTGGCGAAAATGGCATGTACCACTTTGTTTTAAATATGTATGTATTTATTAGTCGAAAGGGGCTTTGTCCCTGAAGGACTATTGTTTCCGTTTTACGATTTTGCGTTTGTTCACTATAAATGACCGTTCCATTTTACAAACTGTTGCCACCAAATGTTAGAGTCCTGCATTATATTTGAAGAAATTAAATAATGAAAAATCTGCATAAATGTATGTATATTTCTCGCATTCTGATAAAACAACGGTACATGGAACCATCGAAATTTGAATGATTTAATCCTACTGCGAATATGGGCATGTAGAAGCCCAAATTTGAAATTTGGAATTTGTTTTGTTATCGATTTTATATTTTGTCAATCTTTGACGAATTTTTGACTAACAAACTCAAGGATTTCAAAGCGAGCAATGGCAACGTTGAACAGAAAAAACATTTTTATCTCCAGCGCGTGAGACTGCATATTGGAAATTTTATATGCTCAGTTTGAAACTATTTTGCGATATTGCTGCTGAACTGAATTTTATGGTTTAAGTGCGAAGAACGTGATATTTAATAAATGAAGGTAACAGACAAAATGTTAAAAGAACGCCCCTTTGGGCGTAATTTAAAATCTGAAAACTTTCAGATTTTCACCTTTTTTATTATTATTATTATCTGTAGAGTCGTTAGGTTTTTTCGGATGCAGGAGACGTGAAAAAATGTGCATAGCCCTCGCCGGGACTCTAACCCTGGACCTCTCGAATACGCGTCGAGTATGCTTCCAATTACCTCACAAAGGCTTGTGGAAAAGAAGGAGAAAAATACCTTATATACTCCTTTTTTAAAGGGTGACTGGGGATGAGAACACCTAATCGCCAAATATTGGTGGTGACGAATTTTCGTCCACCACCCTTCAGTTCGGTGCCACTTGTAGAGTCTTTAGGTTACATTGATGCAGGAGACGTGATAAAAAAGTACACAACCCTAACCGTTATTCGAACCCCTAGAATACGAGTCGGAATACGGGTACCTCTGGAATACGAGTCGAGTACAACGAAGTGTGTACTTTTTATGTATTTTTTCCAAATACACAACGAAGGCATGCGAAAAGGAAAAAGAAAATTCCTTATAAATGAATATACATTTTTTATTTATGTTCTATATTATACATGTAGTCATCCATCCGTGTCAATATATATATTTAATATACTTTTGGCATATTTGTTTCCTTCAGAAAGGTTACTGTGCTTTCTGTATTTACGCAAATATCCGGATTAAACTTATACATGAAAATTTAAAGGGATTGGAAATAGATCATGTGTAAAAATGCTACAGTTTAAAAACTAATTATTGCTTTGAAAATGTTCATGATTGCATCTGCTAATAAAAAATTCAGAATAAATTTGTAAAAGATTTCATTAAAATTAAACTAATTGACATTTAAATAGAAATTAAAAACTAAACAATTCTAACATGGTAATTATTATAACGTATTAGAACCTTATATGTCTTTACGCAGACGAATCGGTAGTCTAAAAAAAAAAAACTTTTACTTCGGACTTTGAAGCCTCAGTATCAGTTTAACAGACATTCTCAAATAATAACAGACAAATAGTTTTAAATATCGTACTCGGTTTTCAGTGGACTTAATTCTATAAAATAGAGTGATTATAATATCTAGGATATCATTTGCGGTTGCTCGAGGTTATTTAACATTTACTAATAGTATAAAAAATCTACACACACACACGCATATATAGTAATAAATAGTTAATAAGAAAGATCCCTTAGTAAAGTGCATCTTGTATGAGAGGGGGAAAGAGAAGAAAAGAGGTTATAGGGGTGAAAGGGAGAAAAAGAAGAGAGGCTACGCTGAACCGACCTGTAAGTATCGCGCGAGAACAAAACGTTGCAAATTATACCGACCTACCACAATATAAACGCTTTCAAATTCATTATACTCTAATATTCTTTAAAATCCGTAGATTAGTTGGAAAGGCCTATTCAACAATTTATTTTGTTTATAAATTCGAAATGCTCTTGATAAAGATTACAAGTAGATGTACGTCTCAACTTGCTAAACACTTGTTTTTCTTGTCCTTAGTCTATTTTAGCAGTTCAAAAAATTAATTTGGCAAAAGTTTGAACGTATGAAAACTAATGAAAGTGGTTCCTGGTCATTATCTGGAGATGATATATTTGTGATGTAAAATTGAGGCTGTACTTCGGATGATATGTTTCATATGTTAGTTTAAATTTTAAAATTATTTTATGGTCTGTTGTTCCCTTTTTCAGCATGATCTTCATCGTGCCATGCAGAGATCGCAGTCAGCATTATCACATCGCCTGATGATTCTGTCAGCAACACTCCTTTGCCTCATATTTACCAGGTAAGTTATGTTATCAGTATTTACATATAAACTATGAAACTCTCAATAAATATTTACATCTGAACAATATTAAATTCTTGATAAATATTTATATCCGTGTGGTGAAAATAAAGGACCATGAAATCTGCGAGTCTTTATTTTGTAGAAAAGGAGCTTAAGTGATTACTTTGTAGAATCATTAGGTTAATTGGAAGCAGAAAAGATGAAAAATATGCAACCGCCTTCGCCGGGAATGGAACCACGGACCTCTGGAATACCGACGCAGCGTGGAGAGCCACTACACCACGAAGGCACGCTAGGAAAGCGGGAGATATACCTTATATACTTCTTTAGATCCTTTAGATAGCGGGAGATATACCTTATACCTTATATGCTCCTTTTTTTAAAGGACGACTGGGGCTTTTAGGGGACCCAATCGCCAAATCCTGGGTATGGAGAGTCATCATCTACAACCCTTTTAGTTCGGGCGCCTCTGTAGAGTCATTAGGATTATTTAGAGGCAGACGAGATGAAAAATTAGCAATTCCCTTCGCCGGGAATCGAACCACGGACCTCTGGAATACCGGCCTAGCGTGCTACCGTTACACCACGAAGGCACGCTAGGGAAGTGGGAGAAATACCTTAACCTCTTCGGATAATTTAGCCAAGACTTAGTTTTATTCTCCAGGTTAAAATCTATTGATAGGTTTCATTTTGTTCTCAGTCTTGGCATCAGAATAAAACCTATTAATGTGAAAAATATAGTTCAAACAATGTTTTTCGAAGCGTAAAATAATTCTGATAGGAAATTCTAACGATTAACTACTTCAATTCGAACTCTCATTGCTCAAAGTTATCTAAACGTTATGGCACGAACTGTCGCTGATAGCTTTGTTAAACGTGAAAACGCACAAAGACGAGCAGATAAAATTAATTTAATTTTGCTCTACTTCATCACTTGTGAGGGACAAATTAAAATTCTATAAAATAAAATTACCATTCTCACGGGCTTAGCAGATTAGCAAACTGGAATGCAAAAATATCTTGCTTACAGTTCTAAGTAATTTTTGATCAAGACTACATACTTCAGGTCCCACAACTAAAAGCTAGATTAAGTCTTAACTTACCGTCAATAGTTAATTAATTTCTTTCTTTAAATTTTGAACTCTACTATTGGATGTATAGCGTAGTAAGAGATAAAAGGGACTATAGTAACAACTGTATTTAAAAACTTGATTTCTTTGTTTAAATTTTGAACGCTGCTGTTGGATGAAAGTCATCCACAATGCAGGAGGATAGTATGACAGAATACAGATTTGTTTTTCAGATATGACGTAGTTAAGATTCCAGGAAGAGGTCGTAGCCAAATTAAAGTTAGTAATTTGGAGTTCCATATTTTTTTTACTTACATATCCGTTCCTTCAAAGAAAAAAAGGTTTGGCAATAGGAAACCTTTTTTAGGAAAAATTACAGCGTTAGCAAAACAAGAGAAATGTAATTTTGAAAGAAAATCATAAAATTTGGAATATACATTTTTGACCAACGAATGCTAAATTTACAGAGTTCCAACAAAACTTATTTTAATTACTAATTATAATAATTAACAGTTGTTTTTGTTTACCTCATCAGCAGGTTACTTCTGAACCGAATCATATTGTTGAGGACTTTTATCAGTGATTCGGTTCACTCTCTCTCAGCAACAATATTTTTCCAAGCTCAAAACGCTGGACTTGCCAAGAACAAATGGTTGAAACAAGCAATAATGTAGCGAAATTCAAATTTTCTTTAAAAGAATTAGATTTCGAACAAAAATACGGGGAAGGCAGTGCTAATAAAATTTATATTTTGCCGTTTATTATGGTTGAATCATGCTGAAAGTTTGTTATTTGAAAGCCGCAATGAATTGTCAGTGGTATTTGACGCGGAACAAGCGAGTAAGTTTTAAAAAATCTTTAAAAATAGTCCCCTCATAGGAGTCAACGGTGACTGCCTATTAGGTGCCTCCATAATAAAATGGCCACCACTTCTGGGCTTAGTAGTGACGAAAATCTAAATATGGCTAGTGCCGGCCATTGAAAAAAAAAAAGACTTGCGTCTTAGTGGCCAAATGTCTGGCCTTTATATAAATATATAAAAATAGAACTGCTAAAACATTGAAGGTAGTTATAAAGAAAGTAGTCGGAAGCTCCATAATATTTACGTATTGTTGAAAAGGATATTCGACACAACAGTAGATAAGGATTACGAAAATACTGCTGGAGGTGTTTTCTCGCCAACAAAGGTCTGGACGCTAAAAATTGTAGGCAATGAAAGCGAACCGGGATAACGGATTAGTAACTTTTTTTGTTTAGAAATGTTTATTTGATCTCTGCTTTGAAAACATGCGTTTAGAGGGACCATTCCTTCATTTTCTTTAATTTTATTACATTCATTTTCTGCTAAAATTCTCATTTTTGTTATGAGAAACTTGTGTTTTTATCCTTACTTTTGAAAACGTATTTGAAAATTAAATTTTATATAAAAGAATAAAAGATTATTTTTAAAAATAAAAAACAGTATCACCAAAGAAGTACTAAAACATATATCACTAGAGAAGAGACAGAGATATTAATGAAAGCCATACAAATTTATGTTCATCAGAACAGTCAGTAAGAGCAAGAATGTGCTGATTAAACGAAAATTGATATTTTAATGTAAAACAACGAATAATGTATGCAGCAGTAACTTTTTAACTCCTTCAACCCAGCAAACGTTTTTTGAAAAAAGAAAGAACAAAAAAATCGAACAACGATAATGATGAAGTAATAAAGAAGGAAGATTGTAACGTAAATATGTTCTTAATATTTATAAAAATTTTGTAGGAAGGTATTCAGAATGGAAGTTCGAAATCCAACATTTTTACCCCGTTGATTTCTTGCCCACAAACTGTACTCATTGTAAAATAAAAAAGTCGCGTAAATGATGGAGTTAATAAACGTGTCGTTACAGGGATTATGTAAACAAGGATTAATATTCATGCACTTAAAGCGTCAAAAACATTTCTGTTATGAAACGATGTCTTCATGAAATGTGACAATGAGAGAGAAAAGCAAAAACGTTCATGTGTTAGCTTTTGCGCAGAAACTGCCGAGATACTAAATTTTTTCTTCTTGGTTTGGAGAAGCACCTTCTGTTAAATCTAAGCCAACAGATAAACTTATTGAAAGAAAGAACGGGAAGTTGTTTAATTATAGCAAGGCACGAGGACCATCTGAAAAGTAAAGACATTCCTTCGTGGAAGACTTTCTAAGGGAAAGTGGCTTCTGAAATAACAGAAGAAAATAGTTGTTAATATAGAAATATTATTTCGTGACATGTAACTTCAGATATAAACTCAAACTAAATCCAGCTTAATTAATCAACCAAATAAACTGCATTGATAAGTTTTCTTATTAGATACCTCTTAAGATTTTTCTTTCTGTTGGTGTAGCATTTTGTTGATAAAAACGTGGTGTAATACAGAGTATGATCAACACAGATTGCTACCGAATTTTATCTCCTTAAACATCTACTTAATTGAGGGCTTTCTCACAGTAAGGTAGAGAATTTTATGAAATGTTTTCAGTACTAAAGTTGGAGCATTTATTAAATATAAAATCTAACTGTTTAAATAGCCTTCATACAGCAAACATTCATGCTCATAAATACTTCACTATGTTTAAAATCTTTAATTTTAAACGTTCCACACTTTTTATGCGCTAATTTCTTAAAGTGGTAAAGTGGTATTCTTAAAGTTCAGGAAATCTGTTGTAAATTTAAATATGTGTATTATTTGTTGGGTTCTAATTTGAACAATATAAACATGTAGCTCTTAATCCATATGTGAGTTAATTTATGTTTTCATTACTATTGTTTCAAAATATTTTATTATTTCAATACCAAAACTGAATGTGTAACTGAATTTGGGCCTATTCATGTTCATCAAAATCTCTCTAATTAAGCTCTGTTTAACTGAAACCGACTTAACCGAAATAGTACAGAAAAACTGTCATTAAATTATGGGAGTCTGGAAAATAATGACTTCCAGTTTGTTTCGATTCTCATTTTTTGACGGACTCATTTTTAGATGTAAATAAAAATTTTGCATTGAATACAAGATATTTTAGTGTATTGTATACAAAACAAATGGACAGTGGATTCTCTATGTGTCTCTGAAGTACAGATATATATATATATATATATATATATGTGATTATGTCACTTAAAATTTCATACTCTCCAAGAAAGTTTTCTTAAGTAAACCATCAGAAATGGAAGCATCAATGATTTGAAAAAATTCTTAGCAATTTTCTCAGTATATTCTAAATAAATTTTTGTACTCTGTGAGGATTTTGGTTAGTGAATTATTACTCATATTGACGCCAATCCAGCAGAGAAAGAAGAGAGGAAACAAGCAGAGAATTAAAAGAGGACTATTAATTTCGTTTTGGTATTTTGCGTTGATTCACTGCAAGTGTTGTTTCATTTCGAAATTGTTGCCATCAAATATTATCGCCCTCTACTATATTTAAAAAATTAAATAATGAAGAATCTGCATAAATATATTGTATGTATGTTTCTCGCATTGTGATAAAACAACGGTACCTAGAGCCATCAAGTTTTGAATAAAGTAAATCCTCCACCCGAATATTAGTACTCTGGAAAGAACGAATTTTAAATTTTAATTTGTTTTATTATCGATTTCATATTTCGTAAAACTTTAACGAACTTTTTATTAACAAACTCAAGGATTTTAAACCGAGCAATGGCAACGTTGTACAGGGGGGGGAAAATTTATCTGCAGCGCGCGAGGCTGTGTAAGGGAAATTCTAAGATATGCTCTTTTTAAAATTATTTGCGATATTGCTGTTGAACGAAACATTTTTAACAGTTTTGTAAAATGTATTAAACAGCACTTTTATTGAAAACAATAGATATAAAATTATACAATTTTCTGATTAGCAGGTTCTACTTCACTGAATTAAAAATTAAGCATTTATGTAATTGCAGTGGTATGTGTAATCTGACGGTTAAATTTTGTGTAATGGAAAAAGGGATTCTTAATGCAGAAAACAAAGGACATACTTATTGCTTTAAGTAAGATATGATTCCACAAGGCAAATATTATCTGCGTGGATTTAGGCATATAGAATGGTACGTTATTAAACAATTTTGAGAAATTGAGAGTATTTACCAGGTAAAGCATAAAATAAAAAAGGTGTCCGATTAATTATTAGTTCTGTCCTCATATCAGTTTTTACTGTTTTCCCAGCGTCTGCGGCTTCCAACATTTCCAGAGGGCGGGAGCGGAGCACGTGGACCTGTTCGAGAGCTTGTACTTTGTTGTCGTCACCTTCTCGACGGTAGGTTACGGTGACTATAAACCGGACAACTGGCCGTCGCAGCTGTTCATGGTAGTTATGATCTGTGTCGCCTTAATAGTGCTTCCTACGCAGGTAAGAATGCTCTTAAATTTGCGTATTGAAAATCATTATTTATGTATACCTTACCATGCAGCCAGGAAAGTAACATCTACCAAAATAATTAAGTAAGTAAATAACTGAGCCCGGAAAACTATACTTAGTCCTAAGGCGATAGACAAAAACAAAGTACATCTTTTGTTAACATGATCTTTTAGAGTCAATTTTAATTTAAATTCCAAAATATTCATTGATTTCTTGAACATGAATAAATATTTACAGCGTACAGTATTAAATAACAGCGCATATTATGCCATCATGTTTTTATGCGTCATTCGATCAGAACTCGGAAACCAGAATCAGATGCAGACTTGTACAAAGAAAGGTATAAAACTCCTTTTAACTGAACAGCTATAATTTAAATGATTGACCAGTTTTTTTTATTCAAGAGCTCAGTTACTCAATCTAATCATCGGCTGTAGTAATTAGGATCTTAAAAGATTTATTGTTTTAATACTTGACACCAAGATAACACTGTATTTTGGATCGTGCCTGGAGAATCAAAATATATTTCCAATTCTACTCAATTCTTCTGACCTGAAGCAAGTAAACTCCACGTTTGACCCAACTTAAGGCTCTTAAATATGTAACAAATTACGAGAATCTAAGTAACACTACGACGGCTGTCCAGAAAAAAATCTGAATAAAGAGGCGATGGGATTTTATATATTACAGAACTAGTGTGTCATCATCTGTAGGAATGTGTCGAAGTTAGAGAACATTACATTGAAAATTTCTGAATAATTTGAAGAAATAAGAAGGAAGTAGATAATGAGGAATCACTGAGAGATTAGACGTTCGTTTTCCAAAAGTCGAACTCAGAACCTTTGAAATGTTGGATCGATGTTCTGACCAATATACTATAAGCGCATGTAAGAATAATTACCCTAATTAATAACAAACTAAATTTTCAAAAGAAAGATATTAACCATTATTTAAATCTTTCTAGTCATCCCTATTGGAGTAAGTAAGTTTCGATTGCGTTTAGTACGCATTTATGATAAGGCATGGAGTTCTTCCCACATGCGGATGAAATATCAATGTACCTCCGTGTAACGTCCTGAGCAACTTTCTAATGGAAGTATGTAACAATCATCGAGGTTGGATATGCCTTTCATTAGCTAAAAATATTTCTCTGAAGTTACATTCGCAATTTAATCTCCGTTGTTTATTTAATCGGCATAATCACTTTAATGTACGAAAGCCTTTTAATAAGTAGTGAAATAATGAAGAATTATGAAAGTGAAATAATGAAATCCTTCTATTAATAAGACCCAAATGTTCAAATATATTTTAGAAATAATTCCAATTTTCTTCTTAGTTCGAACAACTGGCGTACACGTGGATGGAAAGACAGAAACTGGGTTTCGCGTACAGTCGGCATCGAGCGCAGAATGAGAGGCATGTCGTAGTGTGCAGCACGACCCTCCGGTCAGACACTGTCATGGACTTCCTAAACGAGTTCTACGCCCATCCCCTGTTACAGGTATGGCATTTCTCTCTTTTTAGATTTGCTTTAAAATGTTTAGAATAATGTGACCAATATATCTAGCTATATGGAATCTAATTATAAAATGCTTCTAACTTCCTTTTCCGAGTTATCGAGATAGAAGAGATGCGTGCCTGCAGACCTAGAGTAAATAGCATTTAACATTAAAACGTTAATAGGTCTCCTCTTGAGCATAACATACAAAAATATAAAGATAACAGTCTACTTGACGAAACTAAAATTTACATTTCAAAAATAATCCTACGAGGAATCACAAGTCATTATTTTTATTAAGCTAATCCTAAAATGTTTACCGATTTGGGCAGGACCTTTTCTCGTCGTTACTTACTCCAACATAAATAATCAGCAGCGACTTCTCCCATTGGTTCCATTCTTAAGACCTGCCACGCTTGCCTGCCAGAGTCGGCTAGTTCATCAAGTTATGCTTCAATTCAGGCGGGATCCGATGTAAGGCAACTGCAGGATATCGACCGACTGACCGATCAACTACCGGTTCCAGTTAACTACTTAAATACCTACGCTGTTCTCAAAATCTGCGTAATCTCCTGGAGGGAACGAGCTCGTGATTGTGCTCAAAGTGATAGAAGAATATATAAATGTTCACATAGGTAATTTTCTTTAAACCTTTTTCATGCTCTCCAAGCAAGGATAATAATAAAGTGAAATGATTAATATTTACTCATGTGTGTTCTCACCTGAACGACAGCGGAAACGAGTAATTGCATAGGGCATTTAGAATGGGAAGTGAATATTGTCCTTGACAAGCACGGTGATTTTAATTCCTTTTCAGTGAGAGAAAAGGAAAGACGAGCATATACTGGATAGGTTACGAATACTATTTGCTACTGTTTTACACAGGATTCAGAAAGAATGTTGGAGATTCAAATAGCTGGTTATTGTCCTCTACGTATTCATTAAAAGTACTGTCATAGAATATTCTTCAGATATCCACACAGGAAGAAAACAGATGTGCTACATGGAGGTATTTTCCATAATTTTTTATGTTATTGCGATTCATAATTTTCTCTATATACTACATCCCTGGAGAATATCTGATTAATATTTGTACAACCTACAAAAGTAATATCTTTCTTACAAAGTATAGCAACAATTAGAAAGTATTTGACTCTCTTTGTCGCTCATAGACACAAATCACTCATTGTGATGTATCTACCAGTGAATATTGGGAGCATGAATCTGCATACTGATCCTGAATATTGGGAACCCTTACTTATAGATACGAAGAGATTACAAAACGCTTATGTAAGACATCTGTAGAGATCCTGCCTGTGAGCAATCTGAAGTAATAATTCGCAACTTTATCGGTTGCAAAAGACTTGGTAGTTCACTGACTCCCTTTTATCTTCCAAACCCTGTATTACACTATCAAAAACCTCCACACAAATCCAATTCAAAAAACTTATTCTATCTATAAGATTGATAAAGAAACTTGAGAAGTGAAATCGTTGGAAGGAAGTTTTACTATGTTACTTTTTTATAAAAACAAGCTATAGTTTTATGTGTAAAATATCTCCCATTGCTTAATTATATTGAGATCTCCATGCTAAATATATAATATCTGTGATTTATGTGAAGCGTCTCTCTGATTGACAACACTGGTTTAGTAATTTCACGTCGGTCTCAAAAATTCCCATTAATCCCGCTAAATTCGAATTCGACCATATTTTAATATTTTTAAAAGACTTCATTCATTTCTATTTAAGCTACAATAGTGTAATTTTCAGAGCAATAGAATGTTCCTTTTAGAATATTGTGAATTTCATGAAGTTTTTAAATCCGGATTAATAAGTAATTTTATGTATGAAAACTAAATTGTATTTCTGTTTTAATGCATGTTTCATTCTGTCAAACGCAACTAACTCTATTTTCTGTATCCCTCAAACGTATCGATTTCTGCAGACCTTATTTATCTCGCTGTTAATGAAATGTCTAGCCATACTTTTTCTTTGTTGGTATTAAAAACTCAAGAAACAAGAACCTCCTCAGTGCATGTCAAAACTTTCGGATACTCAAATTAACAGTTGTAACGTGTAGAACGTCAAGTAAAATTGATTGGGAAAAACAGGAAAAGGGAAAGAGAAGTAATAGCCGCTCGCCTGCGAATGGATGGCTTTAGGTTAGTATGTCAGATAGACAGAGAAACGGTTTGGGGCCTGAAGGTGTTATATGCTTTGAAGGGGCTAATGCAAGTAATTAAATCCTTTAAACAGTTGAAAGAAAATATGTAAAGTAAATTAATATATATAAGTATTCTTTTTTATTTTTTTTTTACACAAACTCTCCTTGCACTAAAAATGTACAACATGAGCTATAAATATAAGTTGAAAAGAAAACGACACATACACAATAGACAAAGTTAATTAAACATTACATGGAAAATTATATCGGACTTTTCAGTCCATTCTGAGGGTATAACTTAGGACGATTAAAAAAGGGGAAAAGAGAAAATTAAATGTTTAACATCCTGAGATAAGTTTGTAGAGTCATTAGTTATTTTTTTTTGGAAGCAAATGTCATGAAAAATGAGCAACGTCTTCGCCGGGAATCGAACCACGGACCTCGCGCGCCAGGAATACGCCACGGAATACGCGCCCAGCGTGCAGATTACTACACCACGAAGGCACGCTAAGAAGGCGGGAGAAATACCTTTTAAGTTCCCCGAACAAGCATGCCAGGTACTAGACCTGAGAATGAAATGAAAACAGGTCGTGTGCAAACTCACTATGACCAGAAAGATACTTTGAAATCTGCAAAACGAAAAGACTCAAAATGTAATGTATGCTTAACTGAAGTTTTGTTGTGCCCAGCATTTCAAATTAAAATTAATTCTTCATTACGCTGAAATAAGGGATTCTAGTAAGTATTAATATTATTGATATCAACGAATAAATTTAAAGCACATTTAGCCATTTCATTTCCGTCAATACGTAATGACTACACACATAAGCAAACCAAATATAAATATATGAAATTGACGTCTAACAGAATTTAGAATTATCAGTATTGTCTGTGCTCGTAATACTGATCAAGAGACGCGGAGAGGACAGAAAAGAAAAAACAATAAGAGCCTTAAAGGTGAAATCCCATTCTTCTTGGTCTACTCGAATGCAAGATAAATACGAAGTTCTGTTTGAAAATTGTGCCTTCATTTCGAATACGGAGCTTTGATAATAAATCTCGAATTCAAAAACGAACAATAAACCTACCTTACTGTTCATTTTACTACCATCTATAAAATAAACTATATGAAAACATTTTTTGACGTTGTTTTCATAATTACAAAAATGTATAAGCCCTAAAGCAGTTGAATCAAGAACATCGCAAAAGCGTAATATTATATTTATTCAGCCTTCTGAACTTAACAATGCATCGAAAATATTTTTCTCGTATTCGATTTTCAAATCAATGTGTGGAAGTTCTGCAAGAACAAAAGTAGCTTTGCCACTTAATGTTATTAATAACACAGAGAAGCATTATCCATTGAATTGCTCTCAAATTTCTTTGGCTAATCTACTTTTTAAAAACATGTTCCCAACTACATGAACTAAGTACAAAAACCATATAAAAGATTTATGAGGTTTTTTTTTTTTTTTTTTAAAGTTTTTTTATTTATTTACGTGCTACGCTCTTAGGCACTACACGGAAGGGAAGGATACCTTCGTGGAGAACTTTTTAAGGGAAACTGGCTCATGTATATGTTATGTTACACATGGAGAAAACCATGAAAACGCTGTAGCAGCCATCCCGTTTGTGGGATCGAAACCTCGGACCGAACTACCAGTGTTCAGCGACTTTACCACTCGGCCGCTGGTGGGCCAAACAATTTAAGTGAATGCAAAACTTTTATCCTATTTAAATAAACTTCTATTGTTGGAAAAGGTAATGTCAAATGATGAAAGAGAAAACTTTTTAATTACCTTAACAATCTTTGAAAGTTTTCTGTTACTTATAATTTTCCCACAATTAATAAGTAAAGAAGTTTTGAACCAACAACTATAATCTTCTAAGGTACGTGGAAACTTCTCCAACAAACACTTTAACATTCGAAATATTTACGATATTATATATAGTACTGAAAAAAGAGGCAGGGTATATGTGTTCAAATTCACATGATACTACTTTGAATCGAAGTAGGTGTAAAATGATCTTTAACTATCTTATTCATTCAAGAAATTTTATATCTCAATATTTTTAAAAAGCTAGAATGCATGGTACACGAAAGTTACTCACTCGTATTTATGAGAAAGTAATGTTACAGAAAAATTTCCGGTTTTGACACTCGAAGAATTCCAGAATAATCCGATTTGTAGAAATTTTTTTTGCACTTTAAGTACTTTTCTCTTTAAGCTTGAAATCCTGTCGCATCTCAAAAGTTAATATTTTATTCTTTAATGTAAACAGTTTAGCGTTTCAGACATCAATCGTTTCAACAAAGCGGATTTGAAAATTTTAAAATTAAAGTAATTCACGCATAATGTTCGATAAGCAATTCCAAATGCGATTTTTTGAAGAATTAACCCCTAGCTGTTTATATACGACTTTGCAGTCCTTATCTTTGACAAAAATTTAAATGCTGCAGAAAATTAATGTTCCGCAACTTTTATAAATCGACGCTAACGTAAAAGATATTCTTTACACTGGAGAATACTGTCTGTTGTATTTCTATTCTGTAAGTCAATTTTTTTTTGTCATAAATCTCATCAAACTATATTAAGTTTAACAGAAATCTTCGCGAAGGCATGCCCTATAATCCATTGCGAAAAATTAAAAATATAACTTTTTGGCATTTTCCGAGTAACTGGTGAAGAATAAACTTTTGAAGTGGCTGAATTTCGTCTATCTAACATAATTCTATTTTCAGCCCCTTTGGTATGAAAACTCCATAAGTGCAAGGCAAATATTATTTTGAACCCTCTCACGGGCTTTTCTTTATCTTGGCGGAGAAAGGAATTTCG